TTTTGCACTTCTTAATTGTTAGAAATAAACAAACAAACAAAAAAGCTTGGAACTATTAATAAATTCAAGAACTAAAAAGAAGAATTTAAAATTTGGCATTTCTTAAATATTAGAAATAAGCTAAACAAAACTTTCAAAACTTGTAACTACTAACAAACTCTAAGTCTGGAATGACTTGACATTCTTCAGTAATGTAATATGCCAAACAAAATGATGCTTGGAAATGCTGAAAATTTTGTTTAGTATCCTAATATTTTACTTCAAATAGTATGATTTGATATAATCATGTCCAGAAAATGCAAAAATCTGTTCTTAAATATCTTTTAACAACTTTTTTTTAAATTTTATTGCTCAAAAATGAATTATTTTAAATCATAAGCAGTTAAACTCAAATTAAAATACAGTTTTATCAAAACTATGGGTGTTTGACATGACGGTAAAAACGATGGGATAAACCGGTAAAAACCGTCATGTGTCAAAAACTTGCCAACCCTGCCATCAACATATTAACATGGGGAGACATTTTGCTTATCAAATCTATCACCGCAACCCTTAAAAAGGTATAAATCTAAATTATAATATACTAAATTATTAATTATAAAACTGCCTTTCATGTATATATTTCAATTTCTAAAATTTAGTAAGACTTGATTTTGTTTTTTTGATAGTGGTAGAAAAAGATGCCTACAATTAAAAATGCCGTGCCAAACTAGAATATACTAGTAGCAAAAGGACCGTGAAAGCACAATTAAACATAATATCCATTATGTTCACAAGGTAAAGTTTGAACAAGCTCAATATTCGAGTAAGCCTTATTATTACAACTAGGTTTTATGCATTCACCTAATATCATTTATAAAATTTTCCCAAGTTGTATAGTTTTAATCAGATTATGAAACGAAAATTTTACAAAAAATATTAGCAATTAAAAAAATGGATAAATTGCTATCTTTTGAATGTTATCACTCACGTCGATAATTTATTTCAAAATTAAATTTTCTTTTTTTAAAAGATTATTTTGTATTTTACTCAATCTAATTTTGAAAAAAAAAAAAAAAAAAAAAAAAAATAATAATCGGAAAATTAGTCTAAAAAGCAATAATTACAACTTTTGAATATAATAATAGATAATTAAAACTTTAGAATATTTTAGAGATGGCAAAACCATAAATTTCCTAATTTATTGTTACTAATGACACCTGCATTTAGTTCAACCCCTTGACATATGAAGACGTCTGGGAAGCGTAATTTGTTTCTTATGTCAAAATGATAATTTCCGTGTCTTGGACGTCTTCAACACAGAGATGCCAACTTGCTCCGGACAGCAAATAAATACTTTAAAGTGGTATTTAATCAATTGTGATTATTGGTTTAATAAATTCAATTTAGTAGATTTTTATCCACCACTATTTCTAAATAATTCGTAGGCTTATATAATTCACCACTTTATATCAAGCTATACCCTTTAAAAAGCAAGCAAAAATAGTATTTGCAAAATTTAGTTTGAATTCATTTACAGTTTTTTTAAAAATTATTTTGGCGTGTCCGGAGCAGTTGGCATCTCTGTTAACATTCCGTTGCGAGTTGTTGTTTACAGTGCAATTAAAGACTATTTCTATATCAAGAAATGATATGTCAGGTTAACCATTTATTAAGAAGATGAAAATTACAAAAAGTTTGTAATTTTCATCATTTCGAGACTTACTAAAACCAGAAGAACTGTTCATAGTGTAATAAATGATAAGAAATGTATGCATCATTGATGAATTGAAAAAACTTAGCTGAAAACAAATGGTGTAAAATTTCCAGTTTACTATTTCAAAATTATTTACAGGTCAAAACTTAGAGTTAAAATTATAGTTTCAATTAAAAAATAAATAAAATCGGCAGAACTATGGTACATACACAATTTACAGACAAATACACAAGACAAAATCACATAATTCAAACAATTAAAAGACTGGATAAACGAACAAAATAATGTTGGCAGTTTATCCATTCTTTTAATTTTATTTACAAATGAATTAAGCTTTAATTTAAAGGAAGTTTCAGCAATTTATTTTAAAGTATGGAATAGAATTTCTGACTTCTAAATTCATATTTTTTAAATATATTTAAATTTGGAAGCAACTATATTTAGTAATTTTTGTCAGAAAAAAAAATTGTTTGAATAGCATTTTTCATGGTACTTGGGACCATGTATTGGCAATTGCTTTTCTCAGTCCCAATAACTGGTAATTACAAATTTTAATATTGTGATTAGGACTGGGCGATATTAGAAATTATATATCGTGATATATCGTCAGTTTTGCATCGCGATATAGCGATGTATCGCGATATAGTATTTTTGAATTTCATTTACTTTAAGGCACAGAAAGTCAGATTTCTATCAAGACTTCATACGCATATTGATTTAAATCAATTTATAAATTTGAAAATATATATGTTTTGCTAAAGAAAGATATTAAATAAATTGACTAAGATGTACAAATCTTACTTAAAATATTTATTGAAAAAATGTGTGTAGATACAGAATGAAATATTTGCACTTCTTTATCGTTTATAAGGTATAAGCAGTCTTAATTTAAGTTAACCCCTAAAACACCCTTAATGAAAAAAAATATTGTTATTAAACAAAAGCTGATTTTAAAATTTCAAAATATATTTTAATTAAAATAAAAGTTAGATTGACTAAAAGCCGAAGTTTAAAATTAAAAATGTTCGAATTTTAAACTAAAAAGTAAACATAAGATTTGTAATAATTTCTTAAAATTTTCGTTCTCTGAAAGATTTCTCAGTTTAAAAATAAAAAGGGAATTTTATAAAGATATCTAGCTGAAATTATTGAAAGAAAATTTAAAAAATTAAAAAAAAAGTTTGTTAAGAAATTCATTATACACTTAAAACAAAGTGTTAAAAAAATTTTTTTTTTTTTAAAAAAAGAAACTTTTTTTAACAAATCAATATTTGCTTGTACTATTATGCGTAAATAATTACAGAATTATTAAGTTCGATCGTAATGTTCAAATTCTTAATGAAGAAGTAAACACAAGTTTTGTTATATTTTCTAAAAATGATCACGCAAATAACAAAAGATTTCTTAGTTTAAAAATAAAAAAATAAATAAAAGTGAAATTTATCAATATATTTACCTAACAGCATAGGAACAAAATTTAAAAAATAAGTTCGTTAAAAAATTATTTGTAAATAACCTAACAAAGAGCTAAATAATTTTAAAAAAAAAATGCTTCTTAAACACTATTTTTATTATTATTTCATATAAATAATTAAATTAAATTAAATAATGACCGAATTATGAACGAAAAACAAAGTAAGGCAAAGTTTCTTAATTAAATTCTTAAAAATAAAAACAAAAGAATTGTGATATTCGGTAATATATTTAGCTAATTAACTAATAATATAAAACGAAAATTAAAAAAAAATAATGATTTTACTCTCTAATAAAACGAAGTAGTAATTGATAAAAAAAAAAAAAAAAAAGAAATGAATAAAATTCGCAAACTTTTCAAATTCTTTTGAACAAATAAAGTTTATTGACTTATGTCCAAAAAATAAGTTTTGTTTTAACTTTATTTCTAAAAATAAAAACAACTCAAGATTTATAAATTTAAAATCAGTAATAGAAGCCCATTAAATTATTAGAAGTTTTATCCGAAAGGTTTTTAATAAATTAAAAGAAAGTAAAAAAATAACCTAACAAATTTATTTACTTTGTAATTTAATTCCTTATGGGTGCCTTAAATTAGATTTCCGATAATTTTCACATTTAAAAATATAAAAAAAGTTTTGTCAGAAAATAAATAAAAAACTTACCTAATTAATGAAGAAACTTTTCTTTATAAATTCTTTTCAATAATAGATTGCGTTCAGAACAAGGTTACGACGACGATCACGAAGTTAATCCCATTGAAAATAATCTACAAGAAACGATTTCGAATCGCGAAGGTGCGAAAACGAACATGTGATATAACGATATAAGGTCTCAAAAGTGATTCTGATTCTACCAACAGTCAAGGCCGTCTCAACATAACGAAACAATATCGTCTTCCACAGCGCGAGTTGGCATCGGAACGTAAGAGAAAGTCCTTGCGTGTATCGCTATATCGTTATATTGTCTTCTTCACGCGACGGCTTAAATCAGATTTCTGATGCATCGCTTGGAATGAAAGTTGCTGTATCGGTTTGCCGATATAGGCGTTAAATCGATATGTCGCGATATATCGATTTATAGCCCAGTCCTAATTGTGATGTACTACTGTAAAAAAAATGTAAGAACATATTGCAAGATTTTTTTGATTTCACTAATTTATAATTCATATATTGGTCAATATTTTTTTTATGTAAATAAAATTTATTAAAACTCACAATTACATTATAATTATTATTATGTATAGCATTTATGATATTTTTATATGTTATTGATCATTTTCATGATAATACCATATATGATAATTGTTGTAAATCAATAACTATTGTTATCGATCATTGTGAAATTATTGTACATTGTCATGTGTATATAATGATTGTACACTGTCATATTTATATTATCTTTTAAGACTATAATATTATACATCTTTGCATATTATTCTTATTAGCAGAATCTAGCACTACGCTTTAGTGGTGAATTTCAGAAAATGTTTTTCTTCTTAGCTTTTCTGAACCATATAACTGATAAATACTTTTCATACTTTTAATTTTCTTAAAAAGAAGTTTTGTTGAAGTTTGACCATATATATTACTTATTTTTTCTTTCCTAGTTACTAGAGAAATGCAAAAATTAGTTCCTTACAGATAGAGTGAGTTTAAAGTAAAACATTCTTGGAATAGTTCATCATGGGGCATGAAGATTAGCTATTTCATGATCAATGATAGGATTAAACAAGTAAATAATTTTCGAACAACGATTGAAAGAACATGTTAGGTTCTATTAAAATTAGAGATTTTTAACTATAAATCTTTTCACCAAGATTTTTCAAAACTAATTCCAACATGCCTTGAACAAAATACTAATAATATTAGCTCAGAAGCAGAAATAAATTACTTTTTATACATACAGGGCTGATTGTGCGCAGGAAAAAATCCTCACTAACCGTGATCCGAAAGTTTCCGGAGATCGAAGGTTCAGGTGTTTCAAAAAATCATTGATCGCAAAAGTTTTCGGAAATCAAATTTTCAAAGGTGGAACTTAAAAACACAGTTTATTTTATTTGTTTGCAAGGAGAGCTACTTCATAAGCTTATATTCAAGATTAATATTCATTTTTTTATCAGTAAATAGTTATTATAATCATAAACTCAAGAAAGAAAGACATGTTTGTAAATTTCAATTACTTCTCAAGGTCATCATAGGTATGTGTAAAATTTTAAATATAATTTAAGTAAACTAAGAAATATTGAGAAAGAGAAAAAAAACTTGTTTATATTTTTTTCTAATTTTTCAATTTAAACTTTTTTTTTTACTCAGGAAGAAATTTTCCGGAATTTTGACTTGGGCTATCACCCCTGTACATATATATAACAGCATGGAAGACAAAAAATTTCCTTACAGATGAAGAAGATTAAAATAGATAACTATTTTCCTATTAACTAATAAAAGAACAGGTTACACATTAGATGCATATCGAAAATGATGTTTTTGATTCTTAACCTTCTCACAATGTTATAACAATTAATATTTCAAACTGCCAATCGAAATCGGCAACAGGTGATACAGAACAGAACTCTGTACATATGACAAACACTTTGCATGTTTTCACCATTAGCGTTTGGATAGTCTTAGGAGAAAAAAGAATGTTAATTTCTGTCTTGATTTTCAATTAAATTAAAAAATTTTAATTTTAAGTTAAGAAACTAAATCAAGGTATGTAGCCAAATCTTTCAAAAAAAAAAAAAAAGTACTTTTTAAGTACATATTAAGCACCCAAAAATATTTTTAAGCACTATATACATTAACAAGATGCAAACTAATTTTCAAAGACTTTACATGATCATGATAAAACAACTATTTTCTTTATTAGCCACTATAATAAGATCGAGAGATTTTTCGGTTCAATTTCAGAGGGTGGAAAATGAAGCCTGAAATTGAGAATATCTCAAATTGTAGCAGAGTTGCACTTGATAGTGATAGAATCTGACCGAACTCAGCTCAGTAGACGCACATGCGGGCCCGCAAGTATTTTATCAAACGTGTAAAATGATTGGCGTTTTGATATGCTATGGACCGACGGCAGGACGAAATGAATTGTTCGAATGAATTGCGTAAACGTTGAATAGAACAAAGTGAAAAGCACGCTTTTGCATAATACATGGGCGAAAATCAACATGGAAAAGAAAAAAAATCTCATTTTCAAAAGGGAAAATTAAGCACTTTTTAAAAACACCTAATGAAAAAAGCATCTTTAAAGGCTTTTAAAAAATGAAAATAAGCACCTTTAAAAAACACTACACACCATGTATATGGTACTCAAAACTATATTAAACTTAGCTCCATAAGAAAATGTCATGGAAATTTTTTTTTAGAAACAAAAGCAAAGAATATTGTGGAAGGGAAATATACCTTAGTACATTACCACACAGGGGATATTTCCGTATCGTCATCTGTCCCGCCAACTACAATCGCCAAGGTGCCAAATAGATTTTAAAGTTGCAAATTAAAAAAAAAACATGTAGATATTTGCCCGGGGGTTGCTACGAGTTATACCTTTCGAGTTGGTCCCTTTCTTTGATGTTTTTTAAGTTTCTTGCGGGCCACTGCCCGGAAGTTTCCAAGACTTGGTGATGACGGCCACAGATCACGATACGGAAATCTCTCCTCCATACAAGTGAGCAGAGGAGAAGAAAGAAGGTCAAGACCCCAATTATCTCCCCAGATGACGTATTTGTGTGTTGTGATCTCAAAAGGTACTTTAAACAAAATTATTAGTAAGTATAATATTATTGAGAAAAATAGGATAGAAATAACAAATTATTTACATTGCATATATTTACAAAAGTAATACATATCCTTAAAAATGTAATAAGAATAAAATAAACAACTATTTTTTCAGAAACTATCGAAAAAACATATTAGGCTTTGGACGACTACACGGAATAGCATTTTTGGTTCTTAATCGCCTTACAGCTTCACGAAGATGTTTCGGCTGCAACGGCCCAGTATCTCTATTACTTTCTGAAACATCAAGGGCTTCCTCCACCACCTCACCAACAAAAACTTTTGCGATACCTGAAACTGCAATCACCACATTCTGTGACACAGTGCAACCTGTTATTGACTGCATTAAACGTTTTATGGCAGCTTTAGGAAAAGCTGACCGCCGATACATTTCATACCTATTAAGTTGGTCTTCAGAAAAATTGGAAACGAGGACTTGCATTCTTTCTCGTTCTTCTTCTTCAAGTTGTTCTTTTGTCTTAGTTTGTTGTGAATCTAGAGGAAGATTAGTGTCATCGCTGTCAACGTCCGGATGAAGAGGAGATGACTGAGGTTCGTCAGTACTGATATTTGTAGGTGGTGCCGGCAGCATAATTGAGCAAGGATTGCTTTGCTCCTGGTCTTCAATCGGTGAATCGTCACCGGAATCATCGTCTTCAGTTTGGTTTGAAGTAAGGGAGGGTTTCGACATTCCTTCTTCGGCGTTTAAAGATGAAATACTAACATCGGCCTTTGAATTTGAGCTATCTGAATGTAGCACATCATCATCGAATCTAAGTCGTTTAACTGGTGGAGCGTTATCTAAACTATCAGATGAGTTATCCATTATCAAGATAAATTATTGTTTCAAAGAGTTAATAAGTTATATTGAATTGATTGTTTTTTAACACAGAGTAATAAAACGAAATAATGTTAGCAATTTTTAAAATTGATAATGTTCAGCATTATCTTTGCAAGAAAATAAGACAAGTTTTTTAGCTAAAAAGGAAACTAATTTATGAAAGAAAACATTTAAGATATGTACTTATTATTCATTAACTTCGGACTGTTTAGAAAACAACAATCAAAGCGAAATCAACAACAAACAGCTTAGAATTGCCTATTTTTGCACAGTTGAATAATTATACATTTCTTTTCGGTTACAGTCTTCTCTACAGTTTCTAATGTCTCATTTTGAGAAAAAAAACTACTACTTTAAAATGAGTGATTGGTTGGTTAAATTTAAATGGGCTACAGGTAGCGCACTGCAGAATTCTCTACCTATGGCAATACTTCGCATTCTTGCGCCAATAGCGTGTGGAGAGTCATAGAAGATGGAGTTTATGTCTTTGTTTTCAAATTGAGAGAGAGATTAAAATCTTTTAATTAGGAAACTATATGGTACTGAAAACTACATAAAACATAGTTTAAAAAGAAAGTGTCATGGAAATGAATTTTTTTTTTTAAGAATTAAATACGAAAAATATTAAGAAAAAGAATAATATCATAGTACATTCCTATACAACTGAAAAGAGGATGAGAGAGAAGGAGGGAGGGTCAAAGGCATGGAACCGGTCTCTTCAGTTGGTGTATTCGAGCGTTAGATCGCGAATACTAGGCATGCTTTCCTCATTATAGTATAGAAAGTAATAGGAGTAGAAAATAAGTTATTTTCTGTTCAGAGTTTCAAACCCATTTAAATTTTTTTAACTTGGAATTTATATGGAGCTCAAAACTGCATTAAACATACCGCTTAAAGTAAGAATCATTGAAATTTTGAAAAATATTTTTGATTATCCAAATGCGAAAAATATTATGGACCGGGGAGCATTGTAACTTGCACGCTTTTGCAGTAGAGCAGGTTCTTGTACTATGTATAAGGCTTGCGTTTTATCTAAATGTTTGCAGTGTCTTTCGCTTGGAGACAAATTGAATTTTCTTTGAATTGTACTGAAATTTGTCAAAAAGTTAAATGCTATTTTACCAAATATGGTGGCCATGGCGGAGGCATATTGAAACTATAGTGATAAATCTTAAATATACGTGCTCGTAGGAATTGGATTGTTATTTAGTAATTTTAAATTTGATGTTTGTCTTTGATGATTAATGATTAATGATTTGCTTAAGAGTTTTGAGATTCTGTATCATTTGCTCAGTGATTAGCTATAAAAACAGCCTTAATGAAAAATGAAATGCTTACAGATTAAAATAATTGCGCAAAATGTTAGTGTTATGCTTTAAATATAACTTTACTAAAGCTTTTGCAAAACTTGTGTTAGAAATTTTTTATAAAACTATAGGATTAGTATTTAAGCCTTTGTAGTTGTATGTCTATTCTCAGCTATCGAAGCTTTTTAAAACTCCTATCTTGTGTCTGCATTCAGCCCAAATAGTCGAATAAAATGTGATCCCATGATATTTAGCAATATTGTTCTCTGAAAGCTCTGAAAATATAGAAATTTTGAAAATTTTCTTTTAAGTGTAATTGAGGTTTTTCTTGAAAATTTTTTTTCTCCTAATTATGACCATCGTGTTACTTTTACCATTTTGTAACTTTTAGAATATTTAGTTTCGTCGTTAAAACATTCAAATTTTAAATAAAATATTTGTTCATTTCTAAGTACTTGACATACTTTTATACATGATTCACTTTTGTTCAATTCAAAATTACAAATCAGTATTACTGTAAATCGGCATTTGTTTTAATCTTACGTAGTGTAAAAAAAAAACTAATAAATTGTTTCTTTGTGCGAGAGTGAGTTCCTTTTAACGTTCGTCTCAATTTTGCTTTATTTAAGAAAATCATATTGAAGTATTTCTTTACAGAATAACTCTAATTTTTCGAGTTACACTACTACAAATTCGTAAATTCAGCAAAAAAGTACGTGCAGTTTTCAGTTAAATAAACAGAAATTTGAGACATAAATGCATAGTTGTATGTTGCAACAAGTTTAAATGCATAGTGATGTAGATTTGCATCGTGTGTTTAAAACCTCTCCTCTTTGCAACATAATTACCAGTGTTTTTTCTAAATTTAATCAAAACTATTGTTTTTGAATGTAACTAGAATCTACATTTTATTTCTCTGTATGTGGCAGTTTTCATTGCTGGCACGCTTTCTGAGTAAAATATAATTTCGGTGGATATTACGAATATTTATATAAAAATTTGTTAAAAATATTATTAAAGGCAGTAGATTTGTCGAGCTCAAGGAGCGTTACTCATAATGCAGAGATGCATCTATTTTTGAAAATTAATGGGGAAATTAATGTTTTGAAAAATAATTAAAACCAAGAATTTTAACTACACCATTTTACAGGTAGATTTCAAGCATTTACTAAACATAAAAACTCATACAATTAAGGATAAGGCGTTCTTGATTAGAACAGAACTTGCACCATTTCGGAAATGTAGTGTTAACCAAAGAAATTTGTTTTCCTTTAAATCATTAACTTAAATGTTAAGATGCAAAGCGAAGTCAGTGTAAAACGTGATTCTTAAGCAAATTTAGTTATGAAGAATTACTTTACTAAGACTCAGATTAAAGTTTTCTATAAGTAAAGTAACTGTAACTTTTTACCATGGAAATTTTCGCATACCGCATAAAATTGTATAGATTTATAATTTTATATATTTAAAATTGTTTTTTCAATCTTTAAAAGACCGTGATAACATATATTACGTGATCACATGATTCTCCATACGGTGAGCACTGGATATTCCCTTCATGGTCGAAAGCATAATATGCAAAACGAGCATTTCCGAATTTAGCGGCCCAAGATTAAAAGGATGAGCGGAATATCTAAAGTCGGTAATATCGTCTTAGAAAAGTACTAAGTGCGAATACTCTCGGAGTATACGGACTTGGGGAAGCACTTCTCTTATTCTGCCTGAAGGGATTACATCAAAGTTTTTTTGTCCAAACTGGGATTATCTCTCTTAAGAGAATTTACGCTCTAAAGAGAATTTTTCTGACACTGCCGAGGACATTAAAATATAATGAATTCTGAACCACTAAGTCACGATCAGAGAGTGGTATCAGACTCAGCCAGCAGGGGTCATTAAGTCGTATTGAATCAAAACATGAAATTTACTCCGATTATTAAACACCCTTCATTAGGTGTTTAATAATCGAGGTCAACTGATAATGCTGCTCTAATTTATGAGCTTCTATATGCAGCATAAAAGTATTTCTCAATAAAGATCTCAAAGTAAGTATTATTGAAAATTTTTTTTAATCCAAAAGTATTATGAAAGGAGAAAACATCGCAATACATTTTCATGATAGGCATGCCCATGCTTACAACGTGGTTCGGGTAGGCCAAGATTCACTCAGACTTGAAAAAATAGATCAATATAGAATATATTGAATATAATATAAATATATAAAATTTAGAGAATTATAGATTTTTAATTTTAAGACTTTGTTAAATTGGGTTTGAAAATAAAAAGTAAATAGTAGTTTTACTTTTCCTCATTTTTTTATTCAAATCCATTCTCGCTTTATATTTTTTCATATACTTTGGTTTATTGCGTGTTTAACAAAGAAGAAAGGCCTCTAATAAAGGATACATATTTTAAACGATTGACTTAATCATCTGTTTAAGAAGCAGATAATAAGCCTTTTTTTAAAAAAAGGCGCGCTCAAATATGGAAATAATTGAGTGTTATTCAGTTAAACAATCGCACACAATAAACGCATTTTCTGTGTAAACATCTTTTTCCCCCTGTGGTTTAGGATGTTTGACTGTAAAAATATTGGGGGTAGACGCAATTGAAGAAACTTTGTCTCGATTATTTGGGTCCCTTCTCACTACGCTACTTTTTTATAAAAAAGTTGTTCGCTACAAGCAAAGGTAGCGACAACAGTAGTTTCGTTACTTGTACTACGCTCTATACGACTACTGTATATGGTTTGATATTTAATTACCCTGACCTCCCCGTCCACCCTCATGTCCGAGACAGGATAGGTTACTTGCTAAAATCTTCTTTTTCGAATAAAAAAATATTTATTTTTTCTATATATTTAGTGTCGTTGATACCATATTTTAAACTTCGTGCCCCGTTCTGCTTCGTTTTCTCTTACTACCCCCATCTTCCTTTAAAATATCAATTTTATTTATTATGTAAAGTATGTTTTATATCATAGGAGATCTTATTGCTCGAATTACCAACTAGCGAAGGAAAAAAATGGATTAAATCTCGAAACCAGGCATGGCCCTTTTAACAAGCAGTTCAACCAGTATCGGAGAGCACAGACTGTCCAAGTAAGAAACACCGACTATGGCAAGTGGTATAATTAATCATCTTGTAATTTTGGTCACCTGAACCTTCATCATTCGCTCCTGGCTAACATACATGTTAATCTTGATATAAAACGACTAAACCTGCAAGATCATTAGTCTTAATGAACCCTACTTTCAACATGATGGTCAAATTCCATTATTCTCAAACTTTGTCTAAGAAATAAAGGTGCTATGCCCCTATTAGTGAAATTTGAAATTTTTGTTATAGGGGACGCTGCCAGGGCGGAATAAACTATTAGTTGATTGTTATTATTAGTTGGAGAAGGTGTTATCCGAAATCATTAAACTTTTCGAACTAATTTTTTTGTTTTAAGCAGCGTGATAAACGGGTATAGAATGATATAAGTCCTATCTCTCAAACCATTACATCTTTTAAAACTTAGAGGGAAAAAAAAAACGAAAAATTTATATTGAATAAATCTGCAAAGAAACTGGTTGAAAAACGAGTTTTTAGTTACGAGTTTTAAACGTGAATATTTGCAAAGTTGAATCAATGGTTTGTAGCATATTATCTTGTTTCAATTCCCAACGCAAATGGTACGGGTCCCTTTAACTGTTTTGGTTTTAGTTTTTACGTTTGCTTCATAAGATCTCCGAAGCAAGGGAGGGGTTCAACTATTACGGAATAATCTCTGCTCTGTGTATGTTTGAGAAAGGGAAAACTTTTTTGCACTCTTCAGAATTGGTATAGTGCGGCTTTCAGGAGAACTCCTTCAGATATCAGCCTCGCGTCGTGGTGGGTACCATGGTTACGAGGAAAAGTCACTTCGAATAGGGGTGTGGGGTGGATAGTTTTGTCTTGATCTTGGCATAGGTCAG